ACTTTTTTCAAACCAACAAAAATGGCTGCCAGCAGCCAATCAAATTTCAGCAGCTACTAGGTACTAATGTGTGAAAAGCTGATCATTATGAAATTTGCTATATCCATTTCTGTCATCAATGATTTTTTATTAGCATTTAACAGTAGGCCTAATACATATTACAAAAATGCAATAAGAGACAAACAGAAACATACTGGCACAGTGGAAAGATGACAAAAAATAAAGCAAGAGATGAAAGAGAGAAAAAGACAACTAATTTAACATTGTTTAGGGGTCGACCTTCGTGCTTACGTTTTTCTAAAAATCATGATTCATTTTAAATGAATTCATAAGAATTAGCTGCGTTTTCCCCTGAGATTTGATTGGACGTACACTGAATTTAAGCAGACAGTATACAGGTAGAGGTGTGTCAGTGAGCTTTTGTGTGCAGCCGATCTCTGGCCATCCTCAGGCGAGAGGTTTACTGAGATCTCTGAGTAGTCTGCTCTGATATATAAGTCACTATGTGCATCAGTGTATAGAATAATATAACATGCCCAATGTAAAAACTTATTTTCTCAATAGTGAGCCCTTTAAGGGCAGGCCTGTTGTGAGTTCTGAGGTTTTTAACTGATTGTATATGCTTTTGTCAAACCCATCTATTCACATTAATTAAACTTATACCCATGATGCTGTACAGAGCATTCCACCAATCAGAGAGTTGCAGGCCAAACGAGATCTTTAGCTCCATCCATGCCATAATCGAGTCAGTCTCCTATGCTTCCAAAACACTTTTAAATTAATATGTTTATATTTCTATTTTAAATTTGATCCGCAATGTTTCATGGGATTATAGTTATTTCCCTTTTATAATTATAGTTCTTTCTTGTACTGTACCTTTGTCTTTGTGTCTAATTTACTTTTTTGCTTCAAATCAAAGGTTGTACGATCCATATGGGAAAAACTAATGGGAAAAATGCTTCCGGAAGAAGCGCCACTGAAAAAGTAGGTGGGCACTAATGCACTCTAGAGGAAGCAAAGTGGAAACTCATTGGCCATTGGCTCAAGTCCAGAAAGACAGATAGAACAATAGCTCTCTTGTTTTTTCTATATTTGCGTCTCTACAGAGATGAGCTATGGCTGGTAGACAAAACTCAAGGAATAGTTTATATGGAGCAAGATAGGATGCTCAGGAGACAGAAAGAGAGAGCGCGAGGAAGAGGAATAGATATGTCTCCTGAGACTGAATATCTAATGACCTTTTGGCTTTTACATGGACACGCTGAGACTGTGGCACACATTCAGATACACATTCATAATAACAATGCTTTCGAATTGCTCCAGTACTTTCGAATTGTTGAATTGATGAATTCATCAATGATGAGTTAATTGACTCGTGACACTGAAAAACCCTAGCGGAGGCCAAAGATCCTTCAGCCTGTCATGGCAGAAATTATGTGTTGTGCTATGAATTGCAGTTGGGCATTTTTTTAGAAAGTAATGATGCATGAAATCAAGCTTCAAAAATTGAAAACCTAAGACTAGACTTTATGCTCCCATGATGCTTTTTTTGTCATTGCAGAATATTTTACACACATATGTAACCTGCCACTAATAGTCCAGTTGGCATAAAGCTGAAGTGACTCCATAAAACTTGATATTTTTACTCTGACAAAACTGGAAGTCGGCGCAGCTTAAATCGGAAAAAACAAGCAGCCTATCGGCTCAAACTACACTGAAAACCATTTTTACTCAGGAATTGCTAGTAAATTTCACAAATAATAAAAAAAAAAAAACAGGACCGTAACCCAATGAATCAAAGAAAAAAAAGACTGAAATTGTATTTTCTTGTATTCCAATAATATTTCGAACTTCAATTTTTTTTGAATGCATATTAATTTGATTGATTAAAAAAGTTCCTATAATAGCTAAATAAGATTTGATATTGTGACTGTAAATATTAAATATTTTGCTAACAAAATGAAACATTTGATAATTTGCAGTTGGAGTCATACATGTTTAATGTGTGCATCCACTAATCTTCATATTACTGGCCAGTTGACGACTTGTAATGTCAGACTGAGCTCTGGTCTATTTAAGCTCTCTGTGTGCCAGTCACATTAGACTCCTCTCTTCTTAAACAAGCATTCAAGCACTAGAACGGAGAATATGAAATTGAAACGAAGTAAACTATAGCACTTAAAGATCGGTATACATTTAAAGGTAGACTGGAGTACTTACACTTTTACTGGAGTATTATTTCATAAGTGTGTCTGCACTTTGATTTGTGTACTTCATAGACCACCATATAGTGCATTAACGTTTATCAATAAACCTCTCACAAATGGATCCTCAGCCAGTGGGTTCATCAGATCCATTACACATTTAAACAATTTCCCAAAACTAACTTGTTCTCTATTAAACTCTAAATGCATATTTCACTCTCAAAAGATAATGGGAGGAGTCCACTGAATTTTTCCAGTTGATAAGGCTGTTTATGTGAACTTTTTAAATGTAAATCGGATTTTTAAATGTTTCATTTAAAAATGTCTGAATGGAAGATTTTTCAGATTAACTTTAATTTATAGTTCACCTTAGAAATAGTTCACCAAAAAATAACAATCTGCTGAAAATGTACCTCGGGCCATCCAAAATGAAAAAGTTTGTTTCTTCATCAGATTTGGAGAAATGTAGCACTGCATCAGTGTCTCAGCAATGGATGCTCTGCAGTGAATGGGTGCCGTCAGAATGAGAGTCCAAACAGCTGATAAAAACATCACAATAATGCACAAGTAATCCGCACCACTCTACAAAAGACTAGAATAAACTAATCCATCATTAAGACATTATAACTTTAAACCATAATTACTGGCCAAAATATGAGTCCATAATCCATAATAACACTTCCTCCAGTGAAAATACTCCATCTCCTGTTCTCTCTCAGAGCAGTTTCAGCTTGTAAACGGTGCAGATTTCTCTCCTGATTCAGATGAGACAACTTTGTCACTGTTATTATGGATAGAGAACTCATATTTTAGCCAATCGTAACAGTTTGAAGTTAAAAATATAAAAAAAAAAAAATTTATAATGAATATCTTAATAATGAATTTGTTTCTTACAAACACACAGCTTTTGTCTTCTCCAGATGTTAACTGATGGACTGGAGTGCTGTGGATTACTTGTGGATTATCGTGATGTTTAATCAGCTGTTTGGACTCTCGTTCTGACGGCACCCATTCACTGCAGAGCATCCATCGCTGAGACACTGATGCAGTGCTACATTTCTACAAATCTGATGAAGAAACAAACTCAACTACATCTTGGATGGCCTGGGGGTGAATACATTTTCAGCAAACTTTAATTTTTGGGTCAACTATTCCTTTAAGCTTAATCCTTATTGGTGCAGCCTATAATAATAATAATAATAATAATAAACTGGATAAGCGTGCTTTGTAACGGTTTACAACTCCACAAAGAAGTATCTGTTAAAAGCTTATGCTTGGTGACCTTGAGGAGCTGTATTCCTGAGCGTTTATGTGGAGATGGACAGCTGTTGCATTTCCAGCCTCCCGGAGGACAGCAGCGGCTGAACCGACAGGATGCTGAAACCATCCGCAGAAACTCAATCCTCAGCCGGGCCGGAGCCAGAACCCCACCGACGCCGAGAGCTTTCAGGGGTAAACATTCCTATCCCAGCCCACTCTGGGGAGCACTTCTACCATCCTACCCCGGCAGAAAGACACCCTCTCTGGGGAAAACAGCCCATCGGGTAGGGGTTCAGTATGAGGAATGTTGGAGGGTGCAAGCATTCTTCCTTTCCTGTTCCTGTGGAAGACAGCAAGTCCTGCGGGACACATTCCTATAGCCGTCTCTCTCTCTGTCTCTCTGCAGTTCTGCATTAGCACAATCAATAGTCCAATCACTTCAGGGACACGGGTGGATCCATCAGCCCATTCCCATGACGCAATGCAGTGGTCATGACTTAAGTGCACAGAGAGGTGTTAAAGCTCCTCTGGACCAGGCCGAGACGACGGCAGCCATTGATCGAGGCGACACTGCCTCTGTCTTTGTGTCTCATTCTCCCACAAAAAAAATTGTTTTGCACACCCTTAGTCGGGGTTCCCCGTAGCACTATTCATGAAGAAGTATCAAATATATTCTACCTGATATAAGATGTAAGATATAAGACAACATGTCTTTATTGCATTGTATTCTCTGGCAACACACACAGACGCAGAGACAAACACGCACACACAGATTTTATTTTATTTTTTTAAGTTAACTATAATAACCCTGTTGGTTTTGTCTAACAAATCTGTCACCGGACGAATCTGTGATTACTGAACTGTCAGTACGTTATGACTATTAGTGATTTGCAACTGGAAATGAACCAAGAGCTCTTACTGTGTTTTGTTCTCTCAAGACTCGCAGTCAGCCTAATTACTGCACATGTCATTTGTGAAGAAAATGAAGCTGAATGAGTGTGTTCAAGTCTTTTTGTGCTGAATTTAATCTGTGAAAACATCAGAGAGAGTGAATGTGAGCTCCTCGTTGCAGCGTGGTTTTAATAAACCTGCTTTCACCTGCACACTTCTGCTCTTCTTCAGATATGCACCGTTCCCAAATGATTATTACATTCTTCTTTTTGGCCTCCACAGGGAGCTCATTTAAACCCCCGTCTCAAGTACTGAGCAATTAAGACTTATTTGTCAGAGAAATAGGGGTTTTTAATGAGGGGCTGCTCTGATGGCAGAAGTCAGCAGAGGGAGTCGCTGATCAAATCCAGCCAAATCAATTACGCAGAAGTACTGAATTACATCAGTCAATGTTCCAAATTCTGACCATTTTAAAGCTAACTCTCCTGTATAATACACATTCTGAAGGGGGTTGTCCAATTAATCTTTGCGTCTGCACAGTTTAAAAATTGTCTGTATGACTCGTGCATCATGCAATTCTAGAGCCTGAAGTGATGTTGTGTGTGTACTTTAAAGAAGTATCTATATAGCGTGGTTATTATTTACCTGTGAGTTGACTCTTGTGTGGCGTGAGTGTGTTCAGGAGCTCAAACACCTGCTCTTCCTCCTCCTCTTCCTCTCCCTCAGGACAGATCTGGCTCCTCAGACGGTCATTTCCTTCATTCTTTGGCTCAATCTCAGCATCTGGATCTGATGGACCAAGCGTAGCAGGAGGAGAAATGATCATCAATAGTTTAAGATCTATTCTCACATTATCCCAGAAGACAAACGGACGTATTAAAACAACATTCACAGAGATCATTTTTCAGCAATAATTGCATTGATTGTATCTGCATTACTTTTTATTAGCAAAATAAAAAAAACTAACTTTGATTTTGTTCAGTATGAGCAGGCGACTGAAGGTAATTGTATCTACCAGCCACTGTGGAAGACAAATTCTCATGGATTGGCCTTTGACAACAATGCATTCTTGTTGTAAAGCGTTTGATAGTGAGAAAGAAAAGCTCCATGTGTTTGATTGACTGTTCATCTCAAACATATGCAACCATATGCATACGCACAGAAAACATTATAGAAAAATCGCTGATGAGCTGAAAACATCTCTAGATATTCTGCTCAAATAAACGTGTAATACAGCCAGTCTGTTTTCTTTCACACAGTTTGCTGCGACTAAATCCATGAGCAGTCCATGCCCACTGATGTTCTCTTAATTTGTGCTTATGTGAAAGTGCAATAATTCTGATGAAATGTAGGAAAAAAAATTAAAACACAATAATTGTGATTAACAGTCGTGAATCGCAGAATAATCATGATCAACCGTTTAACAATTATCCAGCAGCCCAAATATAGGCTACTGTCAGCTGGTCTTTATTGCAAAAGCATGTGCGAATATAATGAATACAAACAGTACAGTCTACAATCAGCCTGCCAACCAGATTTGGCAGGGCACTCGCAGCATGTCGAATTAACTAGTTTGTACTCATTATCTTCTATCAAGTTCTCTCTGAACAAAAGAAAGACAATTGCTAATATATCTGCAAGCAGAGATGACGGGTCCAAGCCACAGTGGCATCAGGAAAATGGTGCACAGTGTGCACATGCATTTACAGCAACCCCTAAAGAATGCATATTACTATCTTAGAATAATAGTATGTACCCTTAAGGCAATAATATGGACCCTTACCTTACGATACTAAAATAAATGGTCAGGTGATCTTGTTGACAAACAAACCAGACAGGACAGTAGATGGTGTGAAAATGGTGTTTAAAAATGGTGTATTGACGTCTTTCCGCGGTTGAAACAAGATACCTACTGATGTTCATTCATGTTTATTTCGTGCTATAACTAGTAAAGATGAAGTGATGATCGGTTCACGTGCCGCTTGAACTGAGGCGCTACAGCGATCTGTCACAACACATTAAAGAGCCACAAAACGGTATTTATTGCATTCATCAAATTCAACAGGCCCTTCAACTATCCATTCACTCTTTGCAACAGAGCTCTGAGAATCTGTTCCTCAAGGATGTGGCATCTATCTAATAGATCACTGTCTCAAAGCACAACAATAGCAGCATCTTGGTAAGAATGTTTTCAGCAACATGTGATGTGATTTCAACCGTAGTCTACTTGATTAATGGCGTTTAATTTTGTATTCATTCTGTCGTATGACAACTGGTATTTACTCAAAACCCGGCTGCTCAAATACTCTCCAGCAAGAGAAATTGCAATTATTTCTGCACGCATCTCATCACGTCTCCTTGGCAAACTGGTTAATTGGCACTCAGAAAAATGATTCTAGGTTTCCTGCATCCTTCTATTATTTCACCACAGTCTGACGAACTGACAATTGATAATTCAAATCTGTCATGGTAACACTAAACTAATATAAGGCCTTTCGAGATATTTTTTCTGTGCATTAATGACATTTTGTTGTTGTTGTTTTAACCTTGGTTTAATCAGAAGAGGCTGAACGGTTTAGAAGATTGATAGCTGTTTGACAGGTGGATTTTACAAGGTTTGTCCTAAAGCTCTTTCAAAATTCAAGCAGGACAACATGGACCTACTGAAAATATTATATATGCATATGCATAGCTAGTTTCTTGAGATGGCAAGTGGAAATTTTGCTAGAGATTTGGATTTGATGGTTGCAGTGCTGAATAAAGACTTCATCATATGGATTCAGAATATTTGGATTACAGTGCATGAATAAAACATTACTTTTATGATCATTTTCTGGTGCTTTTGTGTATTTTATGGTCATTCTTTGTGTGTCCCATGGCAAACAAAATAAACATTACATGAAAAGTAATTATAAAATGATTACAGAACTTCGATTCCTTTTAAGATTTTAAAGCTTAGCCATGATTAAAATTATGTAATCATTTAAAACGAGTCGGCAGCAGAAGTCACACAGAGCAGAATTAAATTGTATAATATCAAATTAAATAAATTTGCATTTAATCATAAATACAATATAATTAACATTAATTCCACAAATTAAACATTCATATATTAAATAAGAATTTCTTCAAAATTTGTATGTCTGTAAAGTTGTTAATTCATTAATAATTTATGTCGATCCTGTATGTTTTAGGGTCTATGCAAATATAAGTACAGTGGGGCAAAAAAGTATTTAGTCAGCCACCAATTGTGCAAGTTCTCCCACTTAAAAAGATGAGAGCTGACTAAATACTTTTTTGCCCCACTGTATGTAGACATCTGTGGAAACAGCTTATTCAGAACAGTACTAAATAAAAATAACATGCCATTTTTATGCTCCCTCTTATTTTGTTAAAATTATTAACATATTCTGCAAAAGGTAAAAGTATTGGTAGAACTGCATCTTTAAGTCCTGTTTTCTGACATCTTTTAGATCTGAAAGAAACAACTCTCAAATATGAAATATCACAGTTTGAACATGCATTGCTGGGCTGAAATATCAGTTGCTTTCATCATCCATTGTACTGTATTTATGTCTTCACAGCAGCGCTAACAGATGACAGGCTCGCAGGTACCATCATCCATATGAGCTTTAAAATAAACACACATGAGAGCCGACCTTTACATGAGACAAATGAAGCAGCAGATTCGCTGGACTCACTCATGACCTGATTACTGCTCACCGCCACTGAACGCCACATGCATGACAGGAGGCATTCATCTACTGAACCACCACAGCTCACATCCGCTCTATAGACATCCATATAACAGCACAAAGAGCTGCACTGCCACGTGCAAATCAGATTCATATATACATTATCCATCTGGGTTGACTTCCATGGCACACAGAAATGAGTAGGGACACATTAAGGCACATAATGGATCTCTAAAAAGTGAAGATGATCTCTGGGAGACATTTGCAAAAGTGCTGGAATCTTATACGAGCTAGCTAAATTAATTGCATTAAAATTCAGTATAATGCTAATCCATTTAACAGCTGCTGGTAGATTCAGTCTTGCATTCCTTGTCACTTCTCTTCAACTGAAAAGGTCAATATTAGCTGAAAAAACACACTGATGCACGCTGCAAAAAGCTCTTGCAGTGCAAATGCGGGCTATACAAGACCTGCTGCTGTCAGATATGTCATTAATAATAATCAAACAACTACACAACTCACTGTTCTTTGGATAACTTTAGCTTTAATAAGCTATCTACACTCAGATACTGAGAACCTTCAATGCTTTTTTGTGTATTGCTTGAAATTTGTTTCTTTATTCATCATTTTCTTACAGTTGACTTATCTTTACTTACTTAATTGAACACTGCTTGAAGGCTATGTGCCATTGTTTTCACTTATTATTAATTTGCATCAGTATATAACGTTTTAAATAGTTAAAAAGATAAAGGAGTTAAAATATCCTCAATTAATTGGTATCATGAAATTTCACTGTTGCTAAAATTTTGGTACAGAGACAACTCTATATGGAACACATTCATTCTAGTAATGCATTCGGTTTAAAAAATAATAATATGCAAATTTTGAAAAATAGAGTGTCAGAGTGACGAACATCTTTGAGGAATAAATGAATTCAGTCCACGCTCAAGAAACTGCATTTGAATCTGTTTTGTGTACGTGTATAAAGGTGTTATCATTTTGGAATATGCAACCTCATGAGAGAAATGTTAAAATACTATGCCACAGCAACAGTATGTGTCATCTGCATTATTAGCATTATAAACCTCAAATCCTTGCAAATAGATTTTTTTATTTTGACTAGCAATATTTGTACTGACTGCATGGCCTCCGTGGAGCCGCATAGTTTCCTTATATTGCTTTGAAGTGTCTTGTATGGAAATTCTCTGACAGTTTGGAACATCATTTACCTTTGCATCAGCTGATTTGGATGTTTTAAACTCTGCTTTCTATTGTCAAACCCCAATCTGTATGTAACTCACACAACACATAGCTTTTACACATGCACAGAGCTTTCACTGCTGAAAGAACAGAATAAAACATTACCGGTTATTACAGCAGACTGCCTGTGGCTCTGGTGCTCTTCTGACACATTGTCTTCTACTGTCACTGAGAAAGAGAATTTGACTGTTAGCCAACAGCAGAAAGACCCACTCTCATTATTACTGAAAAAAAAAAAAAACATATATAAATATATATTTCTGTCTATATTTCCATTCTGATATAGAGCGATATCGCATGACTACGAGTGTGGTATTGTTTTTATAAAACAGTACAATGCCACAAATGTGCAAATAAATAAGAAACAAGAACAGTGTGTCTTAAAAACTACTTCCTTCCACCATGGATTCAAATCTCAGGCCAATTCGAAAATGACACTTTAGAGCTAGTAACGAAGGAACGTTGAGTTGCTTCATTAAAAGCTTACTGAATTACTGTATTAAAAGCTCACTGTATTGAGTAGAGTATTATGAGAAAGAGATGGACTGAGCGAGTGTGATTACCTGCATCTGATACAGCATTCATTCGTCAACTCAGTCTCATATTCACAATAAAACATTAGTTTGAATGTCTGCTGAGGAAAGCGATATCTTTGTTGTAGTATCCTTTCAACTGTTAAAAGATTTCCCATGAAAATGCTGGTCAATGCATTTGTTGGCTGCGTCTTACAAGGTGTTGTTGAAGGTAAAAATAATGTCCTTGTTTCAGTCCCTTTCAATTTAAAGGTCTTTACTACTGACTCACCCATAAAGCCAGTCTCTTGTCGCTATGTAATGTCACAAAAAATAACAATGTAACTAAAATCATCATCACTAACACACATATGGTTTTGATACCAAATACTATTATTAAATACTACTATTATTTATATAAAATATTATTTGTAAAAGTATAAGATGTTTGTACAATAGGACATAAACACAAGCAAACAAATCAGTCAAAAGTACAGCGCTCTGGTACAGCATTAAAGTTATATAAAAATATAAAGTTATGAAACTTAACTTTGCCTTCAGCCAAAACTCTTTGCGCTGGAACAAGTAATAGATTAATGAGACCAATAATTGCATGTTAGATTTACCCCAGAAAAATATGGCTCATGTTTATCCACAACATAGATGTTAGAGCATTCTATAATAACAGATAATTCCATATCTACTTCAGTCATAAAACTCTAGATGGCGCAGGTTGATAGGTCCTTTACATGCAATCGGCTGGCAATCACATAATTTAGTACATGGCACAAGCTGATTGGCCTCTGCTGCAACCAATGAGATTAGATCAACATTTAAATGTTCACTGTAACCCTCCACCTCCCCCAGCACCACCTGTCTAGATCTACTGCAGGATATATGCCTATTAATTCAGTACAATATCTGGTGTATCTGTTGGCAGTAGTGAAGTGTGGCCAAGTGTGGCCAAGTATGGTTACCCATACTAGGGTATAAGTGCTCTGCATTTAACCCATCCAAAGTGGACACACACAGCAGTGAACACACACACCGTGAACACACACCCGAAGCAGTGGGCAGCCATTTATGGGCACCTCAGTCGTGGTATTGAAGGTGGGAGAGAGCGCTGTACATTCACTCCCCCCACCTACAATCCCTGCCAGCACGAGACTCGAACCCACAACCTTTAGGTTACGAGTCCGACTCCTGACCTCCTCTGCTTTAAATAAAGCTTGCTTATGGATCCGCACGTTTCACGTCTTGTCAGCCCCGTTACAGAGGGTCACATATTGCTAAATTGACAAACATGATCATGTACAGTTTAAATATAATGTATATTACAGTGTGTGTACATAATCATTTATAAGTGATGCATGTACAATATGTGTACAGCAACCAAACACTTCACATGGTCAGACATTTCTGATAAGTCCCTTTATCAGTCAGCAAACTATTGATCAACAATCTAATACAGTCCAAATATTTGTATGTAAAACATGTCAGAGCTGTTTTTACTGATTTATGAACATTTCTGTAAAATGCACCACAAAAAGCATCCAACTACTCAGCATAAGTAAAGGCAGCCCTTAGGAGCTCATTCTCAGAGACAGAGAGGAATGTGGCACGGCATGTGTGTGTGTGTGTGTGTGTGTGTGTGTGTGTGAGTGTGAGCGAGAGTGTGTGTGTGTGAGAGAGTGTGAGAGAGAGTGTGTGTGTGTGAGAGAGAGAGAGAGAGAGAGAGAGAGTGTGTGTGTGTGTGTGTGTGTGTTATGCAGACGGGCAGCTCTGAGTAAATGTCAGCGTGAGAGGAGAACGTGTTTGCATATGAGCGGATGATGTATGTCTTTGGCCTGAAGACATTTATTCCCTTAAGCAATAATGCTGTCAC